TGCTTGTCTGTTTGAATTCTGAAGTCCCAGAGCAGTTTAATTTTATCATTTTCTATGACTTTCTCTATTTTATGATCCCACCAGTTTTTGCTTACAGGCAAATGATATTTTTTGCAGATCTTCCAATGCACCATTGTTGCTACTTTGTCATGCCGCTGCTTGTAATCAGTTTGTGCAATCTTCTTGCAACAGCTTACCAAGTGGTCCACTGTTTCTTCAGCTTCTTTGCATAGGCGGCACTTACTGTCTGTTGCTGTCTTCTCAATTTTGACTTTGTATGCATTTGTCCTTAAGGCTTGGTCTTGTGCAGCCAGAATTAGTCCCTCGGTCTCTTTCTTCAATTTTCCTGCTCTTAGCCATTGCCAGGTTTTATTATTATCTGCTTTCCCAGCTATTTTTTTCATGTATTGGCCATGTAGTGCTTTGTCTTCCCATGCCTCTATTCTGTTCTTCATTTGGTCTTTCTTGTAGGCCAGTTTGGTCTCTCCAGTAGTTAGTAAGCCTTCCTGATATACTAATTTCAGTGCATCTTCATCATTGTTCTTCAGATATTCTTCCAAAGCCATTTTTTCTTCTTCAACCATCTGATGTACTTGTAGCATTCCACGCCCACCTATTTGCCTTGGTAGATAAAGTCTATCAATGTCACTGCGTGGATGAAGGGCATGATTCATTGTCATTATTTTTCTGGTCTGCCTATCCATTGCTTTTAGTTCTGCTTGAGTCCAGTCCACTATTCCAGCTGTGTACCTAATACTGGGATTGCCCAGGTGTTGATTGCCTTTATGTATTTCCTCCATTGAGTTTGGACTTTAAGATCTTCTTCACTCTCTTGATGTATTCACCTCTAATCTTTTTCTTGACTTCAGTGTGCTTGATGTTGTCAGCTTGAAGGATACCCAAGTATTTGTAGTACTCTTCCTCATCCAGACTCTTAATGTTATTTTCGTGGGGCATCTTGATTCCTTCAGTTTTCACTATTTTTCCTTGTTTGATAGTAAGTGTGGCACATTTGTCCAAGCCAAACTCCATTACAATATCTTGGCTATATATACGGACAGTGTTGAGCAGCGATTCTATTTCAGATGATGTTTTTCCATACAGCTTCAGATCATCCATATAAAGGAGGTGGGATAGTCTGGCAGATGTTTTTGATGTTTGATAGCCATGTCCTGAGTTATTCAGTATTGTTGACAGAGGAAACAGTGCAATAACAAATAGTAATGGTGATAATGAATCTCCTTGAAATATTCCTCTCTTGATATTAACCTCTCCCAGCTTCTCACCATTGATCTGCAACTGTGTCTTCCATTGTGCCATCGATCTTTGCACAAATTTTCTGATGTTTCTACTGACTCCTGTTATTTCTAGGCACTTTATTATCCAATCATGTGGCAGAGAGTCAAATGCCTTTTTGTAGTCAATCCATGCCACATTCAGGTTGGTCTTCCTTCTCTTGCAGTTTTCCAAGATCATTTTGTCTATTAGGAGTTGATCTTTTGTTCCTCTGCTATTGGGGCGGTTTCCTTTCTGCTCAGGTGGAAAGAGATTGTTTTCAACTAGATGCTGTTGCACTGCATCAGCTACTACATTTATTATTATTATTATTATTTCATAATCATGAGCAAATGATTAAATTAAATGATTGCTAGAAATAAAAGGATTCAAATACATTTTCTTCAAAATAAGATTCACCCAAATACTCTCACTGAATAATTAAAATAAGACTTTTATTTACTATAATTTTGACGGTAATTAGCGAATGCCAATTTTAAACAGATATAAAGTGCATGATTGAAAAAAAAAGATAAATCCTATTCTGGGTAAGCCTAAATCATACCAAAACACAAAATGATTATTCTTAAGAACATTACAATAACTGGCTGACCTTTGCATTAGCAAACCATGAATTGAAGTATTCTAATAATAAACTGTTATAATAAAAAAAAAGTCAGGATTGACTCGCTTTCTGCTTGCAACTTTACAAAGAAGCTATGGGGGGGGGGGAATTAGGTGCGGGGAGCCAGGAGGAGAAAACGAAATTACGTGAGCCATTTGCAGCCTGAGAAAATCTCGCAACTTCAAGGTCAGACGCTGAAGACTTTTGGAAGGTGTAGACTGTTTTCCCAAAACAAAATGCTTAACCTGGATTGATGGACAGTAGACAATGGGTGGTCTGGGGAAGAAAAGGGTTTCTTTACCTTGCTGTGTTTCATGCCAAAACCTTAGGACTGGCTTTGCTTTTTCTGTTCCTATATGGATCTGTCAGTTATACTCTTTTGGTAATCAAAAATGTCCCAGAGTTTATTTTGCTGTATAGGCCAACGGGATGCTTGGCATACACTCTCCTGGTTTTTTTTTTAATCACAGCATACAATATGCTATGCTTCTATTTAGTGACACTGGACTCATAAGTTGGCATATTATTATTTGCAAATTATCTATGACTTCTCAGTATTGAGCTCTAGATCAAACCTTTGGGACTTCCTAGAAATCATAACTTTAAAGCCACTAGAGCCAAAACTTCTTGGCAGCATTGTCTTAGCTTGTTTCGGGGGGGGGGGGGTGAAATGTCTTTGATTATTTAGGGGCGTGTCTTTTTTCTCTTATGGCTACATGGCTTTGAACTTTGAGACTCACGATTCTTGAGAACATACTTCACACACAGCTGTAGATCTATTTCTCAAGCTGGATGGCACAAATTACCCGTCTTTAATCAGGTGTTCTCCATAAAAGGGGGGACTATATTTTAAGTCTGCATGTACAGAGGGGTAAGTTGGAGAAGAATGCTGTAGCATTTCCCAAGCAATCTCTCTGTCTCTGTCTCCGTTCCCCAACCTATTGCCTGTAACTAATGTCATGAGTTCCATTTCTGTTTCCGCTTCTGACTGCCTCCAGCATATTATACAAGATATTCTGCAGGGACAGAGTGAAATGAGTTGGGAGAAGCCTGATGAAATATTATTCACAGATATGGGCTTTCAGCCCAGCATCAAATAAAGGATGACTTTCTTCTCCCCCAATTCAGATAAGCACAGCAAGGCTAATAGGTTTTTGTACACCAATAGGATGGACAGGGGAAATTCTCCAAAGCAAAATTCAAAGACATATTCAAATGGTATTTGGGTAAGATCCAATAAAGAGGGGTCAAAAACATGATAGTAGCAAAGATGCCAGCCCCAAAGTGAAGGCTAGATAAGTTTAAGGAAAGAATATAGGAAGCAGACACATTGAGCATGTTTTATGTGTGAAATAATGGAAGAACAAAGTGGGAATGTTGGCAGGAAACAGACAGCCAATCAACAAGAGCTTACATGAAACAGAAATTAAAAGAGGGAAGTGAGGGGATACAGTACAAACCCAGGAATGCTCAGAATAAATTGCAACAGCAGCAGAGAAGCAGCAGCAGCAGCATTCTCCATATTTTGATTTAGGGAGTCCTCAGTGGAGTGTTTTAGGACAGTTGAAATTAGATTAACTGACTTCGGTATGTCCAAATTTGCTGTCTTCCCAAATTACAGCCATCTTATAAATCAGATTTTCCCAACCTGGCCACACAGTATTTGCCAGGTTGAGGAAGGTCAATAGCTCACTATAAAAAGGTTTGGTTATGAGGGTCCTCCTGAGTCAAGGGCTTTTTTTGGAGGAAACCAACAGATTGGTTATATTGCTAGTTAGAGAAAGTAACTAGGCAGTTTTAGCCATTTTACACTCAAGAAGAAGACTAAATCCAGTTGTCTGATTTGGGAAATAGCTTTCCAATAGCAGAAAACAAGGGCTGGTACAAAGGGCAAAACCCCCTAGTAAACTGGAAGTGTTATCTCCAACCTGGCCTCTTCCTCTCTTTTCCCATAAAAAAGCAAATGAGAAAGGAGCAGCCAATCCAAACACTGATTTCCTATTTAAAACATTTCTATAGCTACATAAATGGGAACACTCTATTTAGTGGGTATTCTAAGAGAAAGTTTGCTATGGTTTTTTATTCTGAGGAGGAAAGTTAGAGGCTGGAACAAGTAAAGCCAAAGCTTTGCATAGAGATCCAGGAAGAGACATTCTCCCCCTGCTGGAGGGAAGTATCGGAGCAGCATTCAATTCCAAAAGCAAACCACTTTTCCTCTGGTATACCTAAGTTCTGGGAGATATTTGGGATGAATTATATTGGGTCCAAATTTAAAAATCACTGAGAACGTATGGCGTTAAATCTAATTGTATGAAACTGCCTTTTCTGTTGGGTATTCAACCATCATATAGCTATAGAGTGTGTCTTCATGGGGGTTTCTAGAAAGGAGCCTTCTTCCTTAAGCCTCCTTACCCAGGTTCCTGGTTGGTGCTAGGCTAATGATTAGAACTGGGACTTTCAACATGCAAAGCATTGGCTACATAACAAAACTGCAGCTATTCATGAATTGCACATTGGCTTCATGATTTACCATATAGCTGGACAGTCCACTGTGGAAGCCTGAAAGAGTCCCCATTAAATCACAGGGCTTATCTTGGCTACAGGAAATATGCCATCCCTTTCCACTCATATACTTCATTACTCCCAGCCCTTCAGATCAAAATGATTGCACTCTGTGAAATTCTCTCCCCCGAGTTGTTCAGGTCCTCACTCCAGGAGCAGCTGCATCTTGGCAACTATTGTCACCATGTGGTTGCAGCTGAAAGGGATTTTCTCCAGCCTGGCTGTCCGTGATGACTTGGTGGATGGTTTAGGATTGCGGACAACCCATTTCCTCTTGGAGCTCCCTCTTAGAGGATCAGGTCCTGGCTTAAATTCCCTCTTTGAGCAGATGTGGGAGTAACTCCCTGAGAAGGACTGATTGGAGGGATGAAATCAGTTTTGGTTCCTCTCTGCTGCAGTGTAATCTGTGCGGCTTGCAGATCTTCCCCGCGGAATAGGCCCAGCGCAGCTATAATTCACCGGACGTGGATACCAAACCGTTACCTAGTTATGCATGCGTGCGTGTCTCTCTTCTTCTCTCCCCTGGGACTAAGCGTGATCCTCTCCGTTCCTCTCTTCTCTCTCATTAGAAATGGAAACATTACTGAAAATGAGCAGATGTCCACAAGATCCAGACCGATATTTCCTGAGTACAAATGAGGTAGGGGCCATGCCTAGCATTCCTTAAACCAGTTTTTTTTCTCAAATGTTCCCACCCACTGAAACCAGGGCCGGTGACCTGGAAACGTTGAAGTGGAAGAGACCAGTCCTCAGAGGCCAACAGAAGTGGTGTCTATTTCAGAATGATGAATGTTGGTCCTCCTGGTGGGGAGAAACTCAGCTGTGGGGTACCAGATGGATGGAAACCTCTGTCAGGCAGGCGGTGTGTGGTGTGTGTGTCCTTTTCACTGGCTTTTTTGCATAGAGGTTGATGGGGCAAGTAGGCATTGAAAGACCAGGGGGGGGGGGAGGATGAGCTCTCTTGATTTCAGTGGAGAAACGATCCACAGGGAAGCCAAAGAGAGAAATGGATGTTAGTTTTCTGAAAGCCATGGGCAGTATCCCTCATAAATAGGCTGCTCAGTGTTGCATAGCAAGGTGGGAGGAAGTAAAAAAGCGGGGAAATACACCTCTAATGAGACTTTCTAGAAGCAGGGAAGGGATAGAGAACACCTGAAAACAAAATGTCTCCAGAAAACTGAGGGATGGAATAGGACTCCCAGGTTCTGATCTCAGGTTTGGCATTAGATGTGCTTGTGTGAGAAAATGCAAAACTTTTGGACCCTCTAATAGGAAAGGATTATTCTGAGCTTGGAAGAAGATATGATAAAGGAAATTGTTTGTTCATGGGCTTCTTCATTGTTTGTTCATGGGCTTCTATTATAAGGACTGCCAAGAAAGAACAAATGCCCTTTGCTGCTACTGCTGTATTCAGCCTTCAATCCCAATTCAACAATCTCTTGGTGAGATTAAACTAAATAAGCTTAAGGAAAACAGTATGAATTAGTGTGTTATAGAAGTTATATGGATAACTCTTGATGGAAGACCTCATTTTAAATCATAATTCAGCTGCTGAATCATGTGCTGGGCCTCTGCAGATCTTTCTTTTCAGCTCCAGTTATTTTGTCTGTAAATGGGAAATAGAAATATTCATTGCCTTATAGAATATGGAAAAATGGAGATGATGACTGCAAAAAGTGCTTAAGAACTGCTATATAGCTATATAGCCGGTTACTAAGTGAGGCACTCAGCTGAAAAAATGAATTCACTACTATCAGGAGCAGAAGCAAAATCTTGTTGCATGGAGTACTTCTGTGGAAAAAAATCAAGATATATCTTAGAAGTAGCAGACTGGGGGATGGGGGGTGGGTCATTTGATTGGTGGTGCAGATTTAGCAATGGACTATTTTTTTCTGTAAAATAATGCTCAGGTTAGTCCCATTCCTAATATTTGGGGGAATGTATGACAAGTCAAAAGTGCCATCCTTTGAATCAAAGTAGGTCTGTTCTTCTGTGGAGCAATTTTTATTCTGGAGAAAAAAAAGTAGGCAAAACTTCAGTTCCAGGTCAGGAAAAAAGGGAAAGTTTAAGTGACAATATAAGATCAAAAGCAAAATGGCTGTTATTCACTCCTCTATGGATTTAGGTGGTGGGTTTCTATTTTTCAGCCCAAACAGTTCAATTTGATCTGGTGATCATGGAAGCATATTTTGAATACACTTGGAACCAGGCTAAATTATGGAAGAGAGATTAATAATATTCAAATATCTATAAGGAAATAGATTTCAGAAGATAAATAATTCAAGAAGAGCTTCCACTATATAAATGTATCATACATACTACAAATGTATCACCAAGGACAAAAAACAACAACAATAAGGGCATGACTTCAGATAATATCCTAGATTAATTTTGAAAAAAAAAATAAACCTGATTTGTCCTTGAAGGGGACACCACTAGGAAGATCCATGGCTGGTTGCTAGACTACAAAGTTGAAAAAAAAATATCCTGGAAGAAGTCTGCCTATAGTAAACCAATAACTATTGCCATGAAAAGAGCATGAATATGTTGCCAAAATTAAATCGAACAACTCTATTTTAGAATCTACAAGAAATCTGTTCCAGCTTCTTCCATAAAGAAATGGAGATCTTACTATAAAGATCTGGCTCAAATTCTCAAGTTCTTTGTGTTGCGTTGGTATAGAGCACTGTATGAGGGCTCCAGGTCATAATCAGAATAGCTCTTTTATAAAGAAAAAAAGGATAAGAGATGGAAGGAACGACAAATCTGAAGCTACTCTACAATCCTAGACTTATCTAGAAGCAAATTTGATTGAACACAATATGACTTTAAGTAAATATTCAAAGGATTACACTAAGTAAAAACTGTGGCCAACTTGAAATGTGTCATTGTTGTTAACTAGGCCTCAATAAGTTTAACTTTAATTCTCCAATTATTCTTATGCCTGGCTCACTGACTTCAATTGCAAGAAGCAATGTATTTGGAACACACAAAATGAAGTCTACCAGCAGGTTTCAGAGACACCAGGTGTCTATGTGTACTATGTTTAACTAGAGTACCGTTCTGAGATTCAGTTAACAATATTACCTTTAAAGCCAAATGAAAAGGGGACACTTTCCTGTTGCCAGGGTAAAATAAGTCTGCAACTTTCAGTTTTTGTAACTTTAAATTCTATGTGATTTGTGTGAGTTAACAGGGATATTTCACATTATCAAACACCATAGCAAACTCTCCAGCTAAGCAGAGGCCACACGGCTCTTTTCTGTATGCATTTTTCTAGAATGGGACCCTGCATGAAAAAAATTCCTTTGGTTCAATCCCCAAATCTCCAAGAAGGGTAAGAAAAATTCCTGCAGGCAAGTAAATCTCAATGGGAATTATAATGCCACAAGGTAGCAGAAGGGATGGGCCAGTGATAAAGCAACAATGGCTTGATCTGTAAATACTTAGAGCCTAGCTGAAACAAAATGCAAGAATGTGATAGATCAGTGGTGGCGAACCTATGGCACGGGTGCCAGAGGCGGTATCAGAGCCCTCTCTGTGGGCACCTGCGCCGTCGCCCAGTCCTAGGCCTTCAGCTGGGTTTTATAAAACCTTTTCACTTTAGGCCTCCACCTCCATGTGCAAAAAAAATAATTAATCAATCAATTTCAATTTCTCATGAAAAAAATCTTGCAAAGTTGGAATTGATTGATTGATTGAACTTTTTAGTCCCACCCAGTCTGCCGTTACCACTGCAGCCACGCCCATCCAATGGGTCACACCCATCCAATGGGCCACACTCACCTGGCACCCAACGATGCATAAGTGGTTTTGGGTTGTAGTTTGGGCACTCAATCTCTAAAAGGTTCGCCATCACTGTGATAGATTACTAGTTTTGCTGTGCTACTCAATCTGGGAACCTGTCTTAAAAACTAATATTCAATTCAATCAGAAGGGTACCCTGAGGTTCGTGTCCATCCCTGGAGTGGATGTAGCATTTGCTCACAACTGAATCGCTTGCTTCTCACTTCTCTTAAAGAAAAAGAGAACGAGGAAATCGCCGTGGGGCGTCCCGGTCACGTGAGGTCCCTCTTGGGGCAACTGAGCGAGCCTCTCCGCGAGGGCGGCCTTTGTGTCTCCCCGAGAAGCCCAGGCCGCCACGGGAAGGGCAGGGGCGTCTTTGAAAACGCGCCTTGAACTCGCCCTCCGTCCGCTTTCCAGGCAGGCCCGGTCCCGGGCATTTTGCAGCCCCGCTTGCCGTGCCGAGCATCCTTGCCCCTCTTGCAATGGACGCCGAAGGGCAATTCATGGCCGCACTTGCTGCCTCTGAATGTGGCGCTCCAGCTTCCCCTTCAGGCTTACCAGGGCCCTATTGGAATCCGTCTCCCCTCATTCGTTCCCCCACCCCACCCCGCTTTCTGGGGCGATCAGTACGATCCTTCCCGCCCCCCGTCTCCCCCTAAATGGCGTCTTGCTCGGTTTTATCTCCTTCCCGCGACGATAGTGGTTTGAACGCCCACCCGAAGTCTCTCCTCTGAAGACACTCGGGGCATCTGAAGATAAGGGAAAGAAGGGCAATGATGGGGCGGGGGGGGGGAACTCTCTCCCGAGCATTAGGCTCCAACTAACATTAATCTCCCCCTGTCGGCTTCTCCTCGTCGAAGTGGAGGGTTCTAAAGACGCGGGGAGTGGCGCGGCTACGCGACGGATTGTAGCCACCAACCAATGAGTGGGGGCCCTGGGAGTGCGGGGTTCATAAAATCTGGCCCGGTAGATGGAGTGGGGGGGCATAAAAAGGCCGAGGGGGTCGAAGAGGCGAGCCCAGCTGCCGCGCCCCCCATGGACTAGCGCCTTGTCTGAGCCTAAGACAGGCCTCGAGGGGGGCCTGGGAGGAAGAGCGCCCGCCCATCCCCCTCCTACCCCCCCTCGTCAATATCTCCGGGTGTAAATAGTCAAGGGCGTTTAAAGGAGCATTGTGTGCTCCTTCGCGGGTCTGTCGCCTGCGTCTGTCCCTCCTCCGTTTTTTTAAACTCTATTCCTTTTCCTTTCAATCTTTTTCCTTTAAATATCCACCCTAATCTATTTCTTTTCTTCTCCTCCCTCCCGCGTTTTTTCTTTTTCGTTTTTGGTTTGTTTCTTTCCAGAGATTTGGCACGCTTTCCTAAATCCCACTTTGACGCCTGCGATTTCCCCTCCGCTTCGGTTCGGTTCCTTCCCTCCCTCCCTTCCTCTACCCCAAAAAGGGAATTGGTTTGGTCAAGACCGGGTTTCTTTCCATTACCCGCAACCATTTTTATTCTCTTTCTTCCCCTCCGCACGGGCGGACCCCCCTTTTGTATGCGCCACTGCAGTTGGGGGGGTCCAGATCGCCATCGATCGGGAAGGCAGAGCGACCCCTCCCGCACGCGGGACCAATCCGTTCCGACCCGCCCCACCCGGGGAAGACGAAGAAGCCCGATTGTACGGCAGTCCACGTCCTCCGAGGAGCCGCCGCCGCCCGGCTGGACCCCGGCGCTCCCCCAGCATGGTCACTGTAGGTATTTCACGTTTCCGTCATTCCTGTGTATGCCTTCGGTGAGGAGTAGATGGGGATCTCGCCCCACTATGGGGCTCTTTGGCCTGGAAGGGCGAGGGAAATCGAAATCTTGGCGGGGGGCG